AATGACGTAAATACTTCTTTCTCGGTTTGCGAACATCCTTTTTCAACAAACGAAAGGGATCGACTAACATACATAGACAATGATGTTATATTAGGATGTTAGGGTTGGTAATCCAAGTGAGTCGTTCCTGGTTAGGTCTTAAAATGTATATATTCTCACTTGGATTACCAACCCTAACATCTTAATATTAATTCCACCAAGTGAAGTGCAAGAATCTAAGTCATTCAAGTCCACCTTATCACAACCCGCACACCCGATTACCTATGTATACATGAACTTACGGTTACTGCAGCTCAACAGCTGGCCTCTGTAGCTCAGTTGGTTAGAGCGCTGCACCGGAATCGCAGGGCCGTAGGTTCAATTCCTACCAGAGGACCTTGTGCTGCATTTTTCGCAGTCGTTCCTGGTTAGGTCTCAAAATGTATATATTCTCACTTGGATTACCAACCCTAACATTCTAATATTAATTCCACCAAGTGAAGTGCAAGAATCTAAGTCAAAGATGTTTATGCGTTTTGGTTTGGATCCTTTTGTGTCCATATTGCCGATAAACACACTGGACTCCAAGATGAAGGTTTCTTTGGTTGTACCAAAATGGCTTATGACTGGACTGTTCGTCAGTAAGTCCTTCAAATTAACATAAGTTGCTTGGTATTTGCATGGGTGTCCAAATAAAACGCGTGTTGTTTCGTTAAAATTGTCGTAGAGGCTCGGCAGTACTTTTAATTAACTTGGAGCTCTAATTAGCCATTCTTCGCACACTTCTAACTTTGCCCACTGCATGATGTCGGTTGTTTTGTGTCAGCAAATGCTTCAAATTCTCTTGGGATCTGGACGAACCGTTTTCTGTGAATACAAGTCCAAAAAATTCGAGGTAAATTTAGATTTCTCCAGAATATATAAGAGCAAGATTATGCTCTTGTAATCGAGCAAGACATTTGTTTAAAGTCATGGTCATTCTCTTCTCTAGTGTTCCCAAATATGATAATGTCATCAGCAATGTCTCTTGTAGAGTAGGTTGAAAAAGTTCAGAATCAGCATTGGTGCCATAGTTCATAGCGGTATATAGTCCAAGATGTGTGCAGAATGTTGTGATTTTCGTGATGCGGAGTTGAGCTCCAACTGGTGGTGTGCTTGGGATATTAAGCTTGGAGAAAAACAAAATACTGACCTGCAAAATTATTCTGCTTTCCACATTTTGCGCACGTTTTGTTGCTTACCCTGTAACTCCACTTTTAATTTTGTAGACGGTGTCATTAAATGCATTTAAAATCTGGTTATTCGACTGTTCTTCGATAGCAGCCACTTGTGTTTTGCCCGTTTGTTCACGTTGCGCGTCGAGCAACAAATCTTTCAAGGAATATTCTGGGTCTCGCACAGCTTGTTTACGTGTACGGTTTGACCATTCACCGATAATTCAATTTATATTTTTATTTCAAAGTCGACATCCGAAAATTCGCAGTTCTTTGACAGCGAATGCAATTGTACGAATTTGATCAATCGTTTCCAACACGCCTTGTTTTTGCTTGTCGAAATTTGGACACTTCGTAAGGCTCCCTCCTCTGCAGAGCCTGCTTAAATATTTACAAATAACTTACATGAAGTTTCCTGAATAAAAGTGAGCGCGCGCGGTGTGATGGGAAATAAAGAAATGTTGCAATTAAGAGAATATTTATAATCAGATAGCTCGTATCCATTGATATTCGTTTGCAATTTCTGAATATTTTTCGATGAAAATGGACAGAAGAAGATATTGATATTGAATTCACTCAAGGATACTCATGTACGCCTGAAAATGAAAGTCGAAAACATGTTTTAACACCCCGATGCTTGATCGAACTTCGCCACAAACGATTATATACGACGCCATATTGATTGCATTAACTCGCAGAGGCTTCCTTTATTTAGCTCTTCCCATCACTCCTTGCGTTCTCATTTTTCCCTCACTAGAAACTTTATGTAAGCCTCTGCGGAGGAGAGAGCTTCGTAAGGCGTTTGTTTGGTGGTTCGAAATATACCATTGGTCCATCAAAACACTTCTCTAATACTGACACTTTTCTCTGTCCTTTTGGTGTCCGTCTCTGCGCTCCGCTTTCGCTATGTCATCATCCTAAGTTGGTAAGTGGAAATTGTCGTAATATTTCCCTTACTCGTGGGACTGCTTGATATCAGAGTAGTGCTTGTTGACGTGTTTTGTTGGTAATATTACACCCGCGAGAAACATTTTGAAATCTGCCATGCAGCTATGTCCGCCAGCGAATTGCCCCCCCCCCCTTACTTCTTCGTCCGGATCAAATGGCGGTATGGGCGCGCCTGCACAAACGAAGCCACTATTGTTGTATCTCGTTGCCATCGTTGAATTTTAAATATAATTTCGTATTCCTTGAATCCTACATCTTACACTTCTCCAATAAAATGTATTACTGTAACACTTACTTATACTCCACTCGCTTAAAGTATCTAAATATAACTAATGTCAATTGTGTAAGAGAGGTGTGTCTACAACAACACTACATGGGGATTGGTATTAAAATAGGCTTAGATTTATAAAGCATTCGCTTTCTAATACAAGGTAACTGTCACAACAAGCAACACCAACAATACAAAGCATTAGATTGGCGTGACAGCAAGCAATTTTTTAAGAGCAATACCCAAAAATCACAAAAATACTCGAACGTTACCAAGCTTTCGAAATATATTAATTTTTTTGAAATTGAAAGAAAACAGGCAAGATTTCAATATAATCTGGTCAATCTTTACACATGCGATTTCAAAGAAATATAAGCAAACAAAAAACGGAAATAAGTAAAAAGTAATGCCTGTAGTATGCCAGCATTTATTCTTAGAAATTTTATTCAATCTTACATGTCTGAAATTTATGCCTGTTTTCAAAAAATTAACTCAAATCCTTGCGTGTATCATTATTGCTACGCGACAGTAATGTTGCGAATGTGCTAGTTCATTAAATTGGATTATTTTTTTCAGATCCGCAGTGCAGACGTGGACAACAATACTTTTCATTTGTAACATGGGTATACATACGTTGAAAGCAACAGGAAGTAAAATATTATTCTTATAATATAATCAGTTATAAAAATAAGTAATCTGTAGTGGCGTAGTATTTAATTTGCATATTCTAAATGCAATTTTATGTATTTTACTTGTTATACATACGTACAGGTGTATATATCACAGAATATCACAGTACCACAGAATACCAGGGGGGGTTTTATTTCTCTTATAAAATTTGAAGGAAATATGCTGTATACTATATTTTTGTGAAAAAATAATAGTTTTAGTCTCAATGGTCATATAAAAACGAAAAATGGATATTTTCATAAAATTTTTAAAAATAATTGGGATAAACAACAAATAAAATTCCTTATTTTTGGTATTTTCTGCTTAATGCCCGTAAAATCAGAAAGTTTGAAAATAAGTTTCCAAACCAACATGATTTACGTTCATCAACAGTTTTTCTAAGCGATACAACATCGTTACTATTCAGAAATCCCACTAAGTATTCAAATTTACTATAAAAAACTCAATTTTTCAAAGTTACTGGTAAACCTTATATACTATGGTACATACTACCGGTATTCTGTAATGATTTTAGTATTTAGCTTCCACTAAATCATAGCCTATCGAAGGGAAGATGGCTGTGAAACTCATTAGAATAAAAATATAACTCATCGTCTATGTTGGTCAACGTTTATTCATAAATCTGGTCCTTCACCGTCATGTGTGTATTGTATTTTTTCCCTACTAACTAATAGGAATGTTTTAGGAAAGTCACCTATCCGTGACTCGAACAATAGGAAAACTGGAAATTGCTATTGGTGGATTTGGTAAAAATACAATACACACGTGACGGTGATATGACCAGATTATGAATAAACGTTGAACTAACATAGATAATGAGTTATCTTGTTATTCGAATGAAGTTTCACAGCCATCTTCCCTTAGATAGGCTATGACTATAAATCAAGTTACTGTACAGTGTTATATCTGTACAGTGTTAT